AACAGCCTCTAGTAGGTGGAGTATTTTAGGCATGTGCCTAATTTTCTTTTCCTCTGCCATGATGAAGCCCCTTTCCCTGTAGAGGGCCCCATGTATGTGCACAGTCCCAAAGGCATAGCGGCTGTCAGTGTACACCGTCAGCCTTTTTCCTCAGGCCCGGCTAAGAGCCTCCGTCATCGCTATTAGTTCTGCCTTCTGAGCAGATGTCCCTTGCGGAAAGCGTGCCGCCCAGACAAGTTTACCTTGGTCGTCTACTATGGCCGCTCCTGCGTACCTGCGTCCGTCCCGGATGAAACTGCTTCCGTCTGTGAAACAGGTAAGGTCACTACCTGGAAGGGGGTGATCCTTCAAGTCTCTACGGGTCGTCTGGGTCTCGGCTAGGATCTCAAGGCAATCATGTTCAGGTGCGGCTGCAGCGGGGGTTGGCAGAAGCGTAGCCGGATTCAAGGCAGCAGGGGTCTGGAACTCCATGGGGGGTGCGTCCAACAAAAGTCCTTGGTAATGAGTCAGCCTCGCATTTGTGATCCACCGTCCCGGTGGCTGCTTCAGAACCCCCTCTATGGCGTGCGGGGTGGTGATCTGCAGCCGCTGCCCTAGGGTGAGCTTATCAGCGTCTTTGACCAACAGGGCCGTGGCTGCGATGATTCGCAAGCACGCTGGCCACCCCGCCGCCACCGGGTCTAGTGTTTTTGACAAGTACGCCACCGGTCTCTTCCAGGGTCCCAGGGCCTGCATGAGTACCCCCTTGGGCATTCTCCTCTTTTCGTCTATGAACAGGTGAAACTCTTTTGTAGGATCAGGGAGTGCTAGGGCCGGGGCTTCCAGCATGGCTGCCCTCTGGGCCTGAAAAGCGTCTTCTATTTGCACAGTCCACTCCCATGCTCGCCCCGCCTTACGCCCTTCATACAGAGGTCGAGCCTTTTTCGCAAACCCAAGGTCATCATGGAGGGCCTTGTTGAACAGGGTAGGCGAGTTTTTTCTGAACCCTAATCCAATCTCTGCCATGTGATCCACCGATATAGTTTGGCTCCTGTTGCCCCCTGCACCCAACTGGTCTTACTGGACAATTTTCCTGTGTCTTCTGTTAGTATCAAATGTTTTGCTCCTGTATCTATGAGGAAGCTGACTGGGTTCCCCTCCACTTGCAAAGTTACCCTAGGTTTGGGGAGGGGGACCGAACCCCATCTTTCCTATTCGTCTATCACCTGTCCTGCAACCATGACTTTTTCGGGACCTCCAAGTCTTCGCCCCCTTTTCTTTTGGGGCACTCTCGGGCCCAATGCCCATGCTCCTTGCAATTGGCACATTGATCCTTGCCTAGCCTTTCCCGCCGGGGCCTTTCCCTATATTCTGAAACTATCTTCCCCCCTCTTGTGGTGGCTAGCAGGATTTTAGCCATCTCTCTGTTTGCTTTCCATGCTTCTCCAGCTTGGAATTTTCTATTTTCTATCCTGATCCTCTCTAACCTCTCTTCTAGCATCTCTCTATTGTTATAGACCTTCTCTGCCACTTCTAACAGGTCCTGCAGAGTCTTCTCACCCAATCTATCTATTCTCTGCACCTTGCCCCTAATGTCGGGGGCCGCCTGATTGACAAACGCCATCATAACAGCTGCCTTACTCTCCTCCATTGTGGGATCTATGGGGTGTACTGCCGGAAGGCCTCTATGATCCTCTCTAAGTATGCTGCCGGGCTCTCCGGCCCCTGACGAACATCTCCTACCTTGGCCAAATTGGTCGGCTTTCGCACCGCCATACGGAGACCGGCCATCAGAATCTGGCGGTAGACCCGGAGACGCTCCCTACCTTTAGCCTCATTGTAGTCCCAAAGCGGCCGTTCAAGGGGAAAAGTTCGGTCGATGGTTTGTGGGTTTGTAGTAGGTCTGCCGTCCTCCCCTGGAACCAGCTTCCGCGCCTCTCCCTGAATCCTTTCTCTTTTTTCCGTTGTGAAAAGCACCTTAAGCAACTGCTGGCAATTATCCCAGGTGGGCTGATGAGTGAAAAGAACAGAGTCTAAAAGATTAATTAGGTCTCCCGGATTCTGGGAGAAGTTCGAGTTTTGAGATTTCCAATTATAAAGATCACTGGTGGAGAAGGGCCAATATTGGAATGTCTGTGCTCCTCTGTCCTCCCCCAGGGGTCCCACTGCCCTCAGAGGGAGCGCCTTTACGGGCTCCGGATCTGGGGCCCGGCCAGTCCGCTGTCTGGTCTCATAGGCTGGCCCCACTGCCAGTGGTCCCGTGTCCTCCTGGGCCGGGGTAGCCACAGAGGCTGCACCGGGGTTATAGGGCGGAGGCGTGTTCCATTCGAGACCTGTCAGGTCTGGGTAGAGATTGGAGTCCAGCAACACTGGCGTCCCAATGGACCGCGGACTCCGTGCTCCCTCCTTTCTGACTTCTTTAACTGCCAGAACTTCCGCCTTTCCCCTCGGGGCAGGTAGGAGGGCCTTCAGCCAGGGTGGCGGGTCTCCAACCAAGTCTTGCCAGACCACAATATAAGGGATCTGATCAGGGTGGCCGTGGTGGCCAAATACCACCCCTTTTACCTTTTCGATCAAGGAGGCATCCAACGAGCCCTCCCTGGCCCACCCCACTCCAAACGTGGGCCACTCGGCCTTACAAAGGGTAACAAATTTTCCCTTCTTGACCTCCAAGGACAGGTTGTGTGCCCTTGCCCTGACATCCTTAAAATGGCTCACCAGGATGGACAATGGCATTGTTAGAGCCTGTCCCATGGCTAGTCGATAATAGGCAGATGTGCAAACCAATATTCCGCAGTTGGGGCACTGGGGACAAGGATCTGAATCCCTAGCCTTTCACACTCCCTACGGAGGTAACGGCCATGCCCATCCCGCACTAGCCACTTCTGGCACAGGCGGCAGGAGATACACTGTGCGCTGCCAGCCCATGCAGGGGAATACTCACCTGGAGGTCCTAGTCGCCCCTGCAGATCTTTTCGTGGGTCCCCTGATTCCATGGCCCCAGCCCGAAAACCCATGCAACCCTGATGGGTTCTCGGGCTGAAACCACAGAACCCAGAGACTCCAACAAGCCAACGAGAGATGTCACAGTCACACACACACAGAAAGCCGTCGACAAACAAAGCAGACAACAGACAAGTAGACAGTGAGGTAAACAGACAACCTAACCTGGTCCGGTCCTGCTCCCCGGTATCCTCCTGACCGAGCCCTTGGCTACAAGGTCAGCTCCAGCTCCTCCTGACCGAGCCCTAGGCTACAAGGTCAGCTCCGGAGTCCCAACGGGGCCAGAGGACGTCTCCGCCTGGCTCCGACCGGCGACTCACCAGCGCGTCCGCCTAGGTCCTGTGCCGGCGTCCTGATCCGGGGTCCTGCAAGGGGATTCCGCGTCCCTTGCCCAACACCACACCCGGCTAGTCCGGGGTGGATTTTCACACTCCTCCCTCAGCCCTGAGTTCTATCGGGTAGTCTGTGGGGAAGGCAGATCCCGGACGAGCCCCCAAATGTTAGGGACCGACCTTCCACAGCCCCACCGGACAGAAAAGCAGAGACATTGAGGATGCAATCACACAAGAGGAGGTTTATTTTCTGGCTAGCCAGGGTCCAAGCCCCAGAGCACCAACGCAGTGGCCACTCTCGCAGGCAAGGACCCCGACCTGAATTGCGGGGTGCCTTTTATCCCCCCACACAGGGCCCTAGCAACGCACAAACTAATCACGCGGTGGTCATGAGCTGACCTTTGAAGTGATTAATTTTCTTTGTATTCTGTGCGATCCCTGCGCATCCCACCTCCCTTTTGCCTTTCTTCACAACCCAAGAGATAACCAGAGGTATGAGTATAAACAGATGTGTGCTGTTCGCTAATTGCCTCACCCTACTTCACACAAAGGGGGGGGGGAAACTCTTTTCTTATTGTGCCACTGAGACGCCGCCGAGGCTCCATCGAGGCGCCCCCACACTATACATCTGATAAATTCTGATAACTAGAATCTATAAAGAACCCAAGCAAATCAGCAAGAAAAAATGAAACAACCCCATTTAAAAGTGGGCAAAAGCATGAACAGAAATTTTTCAAAAGAAGATAAACTAATGGCCAACAGACATATGAAAAAATGTTCAATGTCTCTAATCACCAGGAAAATGCAAATCAAAACCACAATGAGATATCACTTAACTCCAATGAGAATGGCTTGTACCAAAAAGTCCCAAAACAACAAATGTTGACGTGGATGTGGAGAGATAGGATTACTCATACACCCAGCCCCAGAGGCAGTGCCTCTGTGGGGTTCAGAGGAAGTCCTCCAGTGAATGCTTCTGCCTGCACCTCTGTTGGAGGGTCCTCCCCAAACACCAAATACCAGCGAAACTGGCTTGTGGAGTAGCTCAAAGCTTTCTGGGGAGACCCCCAAGCCTCTCTTCTTCCGTGTGCCAAGGAAGGTGCTGAATTAACCAGCTTCCTTTGCATGCCAGGAGATATGCTCCCAAGCCCTGGACAATATGGAGTGATGGCAGGGAAAATCAGAGAGGCAGCTAGGGGTGGCCAGGAGAAGTGGGGGAGAGACAGGGTGCAACAGGTGGTGGGGAGGAAGCCTGAGTCGGAGAGCACAGTTGGGTACGCGGCGCACCAGCGGGCTGGAGGGGGTCGGGGCAAAAGCCCACCCAGCCCTGCGTCTTGGCCCTGCAAGGCTCAGCCTGCGGCTGCCTTCCAAACCACAGCCTCTGGCCGCCTGTTCCTGGCTCCGGGCCGGCACGCCGCCTGCTCGCCCCCTCCTCCCCCCCCCACCCTCCTCCCCCCGGCTGTCTGCTAGCGCCGCAGTGGTGGCAGTAGGGGGCGGGGGGCCTTAGCGACAAGGCTCCCTCTTCCTCTCCCAGTTGCCGCTGAAGCGCCATCACGTCGTCGGAGATTTCCATCGGGCCTCGGGGGCGGGGCCGGGGTGGGGAGCGCGGGGCGGGGCGAGTGGGAGGAGTGAAAGTTGCGCCCAACAAAACCCTGTGCTCACTCTGAGTGGCCAGTCTCTGCACAGGTGGTCGCTCAGGTCTCCACCGAAAATGTTGCCCAAAGTTCTCCTGCTCTTCCTGAGCCTATTCCTGACCCCCCAATTGAGGTGAGTCTCCATCCCAGGACCCAGGAGCCCTCCACGCCCAGCTCCTTCTGCCAGGGAGAGGGGCGGGCTCCCAGGACCCCGGCCACCCAGTGTTACTCGAGCCCCGCCCACCTGGCCCGGGGCCCTCACGAGGGCTAGCCGGGTTCTGCGTCTCCTCCACAATGTGCGGCCAGCTTCCGCCCCGCTCCCTCTAGGATGAGCGCCCCCGGCCTCTAGAACGGGAGTCCCCAAAGAAAGGCGGGACGCCTGCCCGCGAGCCACTCGCACCCCAGTCTCCCGCTCTTCGAAGCACTGCGGTGGACGGGCGAGCACCCCCTCCCTCAGGGAGTCTTGCGCTGGAAGAGGGGAGAGGCCAGGGCAGCCTGGCGCTGCTGGGGACCCGGGGCCTTTGAGAACGGGGCGCAAGGGCCAGGGGTGCTTAACTACGCTGAAAATGTTTGAGTGTTGCCTAGTCTGTTCTCTTCTTGCTCACATTTTTTTCAGAGTGACTACTGAGTAGCAGGCACTATGCCCGGCAACTCTGACTTTACTTGCTTTCCGGGACGCCGCTCCTCTTGGTGCATGACCTTTGGTTTAGTTTAAGGGTTCTAGTCCCAGCTGTCCCCACTCCAGGCCAGCCTCCCCCCTTCCTTCCTCATTCCTAGACACCCTGCTGGAGCTTGGGCTGACTGGAGCCAGAGGCCATGAATGTTCTTCTCTGAGGTCTGTGGTTTGGGTTTGGGTTGTAGATTTCAATCCCCCCTTCTTTTTTCAGGCTTCCCTTGGGCAGCCAGCTTCCCTTACACCCTCTCCTAGTCCTGGAACTTTGCTAGAAAGATTGTCCCTTGGATTTCTGGCTTTTTAGGGTGGAAGAAGACTGCTTCATTTTTTTCAGACTGTTCCTGCTGGATGTGAACTATCATAAGTTCCTAAGCTTCCTGATCTGTTGAGCTCTCTGGAAGCTTCCATGGCACTAGGCTTTGTGTCTTGCTTATCTGTTTTGGAAAGAGGGGATGGCTTCTCTCCCCACCCCAGATTGTGCTAGCTCCTCAGGAGAGGGGCTGTGTGGCTGCCTGATGGCTCACTGGTGCCCTACGGTGGGGCTGTCCTCAGCAGAAGCTTGGTGAATGTGAATGCGTGCTAAGAATTTCATTCACATCCCTCTATATAGGATTTGGACTCTTTGAGAAGGCTGACATGGTTACTCACTAGGGCTGGTGGGGGGAGCAGAAGGAGGGAGGGAATTAGAGAGGAAAACAGCAGGGTAGAGGGACCATGGACATGGAAACTACCCTTCTAGGCTGGAGGGAGGGCTGCAGTAACTGATGTTGAGACACTGTCAACATAGCAACCTGTGGTGTCAGGAGGGAGCTAGGAAGTTGACAGTGGGGTGTGCTGAGCCACATTGAACCAGGAGACCTCTCTCTGGTCCAGGCTCAGCCTGGGCATGACCCTTCTTCTATCTTGGCCTCAGTTTTTCTGTCTACACAGTGAAAAAGAGAGCTGGATTTGGGGAAAAATCCAGCACCTCTTCTAGTGTCCCCTCCTCCTCCCTCCACACCAGCCAGCTGGGGGAGGGGTACTGAAGAGTTTCAGTTCCATCCTGGACCTGAGGGCTGGAGGGATGTGGGTACTGAAAAGCCCCTGTGGAAAATCCCACTTATTCAATGTATGAGTGTTTTTCAAGTTTTCTTCTTTGTAGCCCTGAAAGTGAGCTTAATGGCTGGCATTGTCAGCAGCTCCTTACCCCAGAGATCCCAGATGGGGTTGTTTTTTGTTTGTTTGTTTGTTCAGATGGTTGGTTTTGTTTGTTTAATTGCCAAAAGCTAATTTTAGGATTAAAGGTACCTCAAGACCTTCCTGTATCATTTTCATTGCAGACCTAGTCCAGGGGCACAAGGGATTTGGTGGTCCTAGTGCTTTCAGGTTGGTTTGTCTCTGTGCTTTTAAACCTGGGGGGGGAGTAGGTTCTTGTTGTTGAAGAGTTTCAGATGTATGGTGGGGGCTGCTGCAGGCTTTTGGATGGTCCTGGCTGACAGTGCCCAGCTTCCCATTGAATGTCAGTTCAGATAGTGCTATGTTCCCAGCCACGTCACTTGTTTTGCAGGGTCTCAGGCCTCCATTTTCCTTCTCCCCACCATAGTCACTGGCCCCTTTCTCTTCAGAGATTAGCCTCCAGGTGTCCAGGGGACATGAAAAGCCTCAGGGAAAGAGGACATCTTCTGGATGTGACATTTGAAAGTAGAAACTGCTTTTCCAAAGCCCAGTTCTTCCCTAGCCCACAACGGTAATTAGCCACTTCAGGCATGAGAAATGGCATGGACTTGGCGCATCTGTATGCCAGTTAAGGAATTCAAAGAGCTTGAAATACTGCAAAAAAATTTATTTAACTGCCCAAGTTGGCAGCCCCTTGGTCTGCAGTACAGGGGCCATGCCCGTGTCTCCTGCCCTGTTTGCCCCTTATTTTTGGAAGTGAATTGCCTGATAGCTTTTTAAAAAAATCATTTTGAAAGTGTAACATACAAATGTAAAAGCACAGAAATTATGAATTAATAGCTCAGTGGATTTTCACAAAGTAAACATGCCCATGTAACCAGCACCTAGATTGGAAAATAGAGCACCACCAGCCCCTCAACACACATTCACACAAGCACACGTGTATACAAATGCCTCACCAGATGCCCCTCCCAGTACACATGCCTTCCCTAAGGAAACCACTCTCCTGCCTTCCAACATCACAGATTTATTTGGGTTGATGGCTTTTTAAAAAGCTTTTAATTATATTTTTTTCAAAGATATATATAACAAAATAAAGGACATAGTACACTGAACCTCCACATACCCATCGCTAGCCTCATTATTTATGAACTCATGGTCACTCTAATTTTTTTGTACCCTACCCACCCTCCATTTCCCACTTAGATGGTTTGAAGCATGTCTCAGACATCATCTCATTTTGTACATAATTATTTCAGTATATATTTCTAGTCATTAAAGACTAGAGAAATTAAAGCATAAGAAAAATTTAAGAATAATTTATTCATATCTCAACTATCCAGTGTTCAAATCTTTCCTATTTGTGTTATAAATGGTTTTTGTCTGTTTTATTTGTTTGCACTTTTTTGCCAATCTGTATGATATTTATTTATTTAATTAATTCATTTTTCCTTTATTGTGCTGTTCAGGACCCCTGTAAAATGTTGAATAGCAGTGTCAAATATTTACATCTTTAATTGGTTACAGATTTTAGGTGGAAAGAGTCGTATTTTGCTGTTATGATGCTAGTCTTTTTTTATTTTCTTATTTTTAATTATTATGGTTACATAGTAGTTGTACATATTTAAGGGGCACATGTGATATTTTGATATAAGCATACAATGTATTATGATCAATAAGGGTAATTGGGGTATCCATCACGTCAAGCATTTACCATTTCTTTGTGTTAAGAATATTACAATTCCACTCTTTTGTTATTTTGAAATATACAATAAATTACTGTTAACTATAGTCACCCTATTGTGCTACTGAATACTAGGTCTTATTCTTTTTATTTATCTGTATTTTTGTTCTGTGTTGGTTACTGAAGGCTGGGAAGGGTAGTGGGGAAGTCGGGATAAAGAGGGGATTGTTGATAGTTTGCTTTTTAAAATCAGGATCCAAATAAGATCCAGATATTAGCAGATGGGGCATTTTTATTTTATAAAACACTTTTTATTGAATGAGAACATATATACAGAAAAGTGCTCAAATCTTAAGTGTGCAGCTGATGAGTTGTCAGAAAATGACCATGGTGGTATAATGAAAGCCAAATCAAGGACCAGAACATAAGAAGAACCTCAGAAGCTGCCTTTGTCACTGCCCCCTAGCCAAGGTAGCAAGCAGCATCCTGACTTTTAACACCATAGGTGAGTTTCATATACTAGCAGATGACTTTTAAAAATGTTTGCTTAATTTAATGACTGTAATTATTTTATCATTCTTCTTGGCTATGGTGCGTGGCTGTGGCTCTCAGGGTGGACTACTCAGAGCTTAAATAGCCACAAAGAGCTATTCTTTAGCCTCTTTCCCTGCATCCCCTATGCCTAATGCAAGGGGTATTACAAAACCAACAAAACCACTAAATATTCCTGTAATTTTTTCTAATCCTTTCTGGAAGCAGCGTCTCTGGCTTTTGCAAGCATTGCCCAGCAGCCCTGGACCCGGGCCTGCCATTATTCCCAGGTGGTAAGGGCAAGGCCAGTAACAGGGGCTAATGGGCCAAAGCTCACAAATGTCCTCTTCATTTTAGAATGAAAATCCTTTTAAAAACTAGGTCTCAGTTTTATTGTTGATTCTGTTTAAATAAAGAGTTATCATAAAAGAGGGATAGCATAGGAAGTCCACACAAAGCAGCAAGATTTAAAAGAAATTAATGAGTATAATCTGTTACTGTGTACTAATTTGCTATTACCAGTCACTGTTTAAGTAAGCTTTTGTTGCAAACTTCTTTTCATTTGCTTCTGTCCCAAGAGGCATCACCTGGGGCCCCTGCAGAGTAGAGTGCAGAGCTTCAATTTTCCTTTGTGTGTTCTAGGGTCCAGGGACCTATGATTGCATTCAAGAGTGAATCCCCTGCCCATGAGGATGTTGTCTATGGCCCTGAGCCCCAGCCCCTTGAAAGGAAGCTCCTTGCTGAAGAAACAAAGCCCACTATGCCTGTGACTGGGCCCACACTGCCTTACACTGGGCCCAGTGCACCTACGACTGGGCTCACTGCACCTGAAACTTGGCTCATTGCTCCTGAGACTGGGCCCACTGCGCCTACAACTGGGCTCACTGCGCCTAAGACTGGGCCCACTGCGCCTACGACTGGGCTCACTGTTCCTGAGACTGGGCTCATTGTGCCTGAGACTGGGCCCACTGTACCTATGACTGGGCTCACTGTGCCTGAGACTGGGCGCCAAGTTGGCAAACTGCCAGAAGCTTCTCGCATCCTCAACACTATCCTGAGTAACTATGACCACAAACTGCGCCCTGGTATTGGAGGTGAGTAGCCCTCCTGAAGGGGGGGGATTTGAGGGCTTAGGTGTGGAGAATGGGCCTGGGGCATAGTTGAGGGTGCTGTGCACGTGGACAGGAGCATCTGTGTGCTGCTGGCCAGTCATGTGGGAGATATTAACTCTAGTCTCAGCAATGCCATTGACTTTGTCTAGATTTTTCCCTTCTTTGACCCTCAGTTTTTCCAACTGTAAAATGAGATGACAGGACTATATGGTTGATCTTCAAGGTGTGTGTCCAACTCTTAACAGTCCATTATCTGGGTCTTACCATGAAGGAACAAATAAAGAAGTAAGACTAGATACTCCAATTGTGCAATCCAACCTTCACCTGTCTCCCTTTTTTTCCCCCTCTAACTAGTCCCTCCCCTGCCCATGCCCCTGTTTGACACTTACCCTCTGCTTCTTCTGCTTCCCTTATAGAGAAACCCGCTGTGGTCACTGTTGAGTTCTCTGTCAACAGTCTTGGCCCTCTGTCCATCCTGGACATGGTGAGTACTAAGTTTTGGGGCCATCCACACATGCTTTCTGCTCTGTGTTTCATTATGACTCCAAGAGTTTAGTTGGGTCTTTTTTTGCTTTTTAGAGGGAGGGATAAATTTTAACTATCACTGAGTTGCTTAAGGACAAGGCTGGAAAGGTAAGTCCCTTGGTGCCAGAAGAGTATCTTCAGAAACGTGACTATATCTTCCAGTCTTTTATTCAAAATAAAAATAATAAAGCAACTTTAAATACCACAATAGAATGGCTCTTTTCTTCTGATAATTATTTGTATGGACTTAAGTCTGTAGTTACCAGCTCTTGCTCTAAGACTGTCTCTCTATTTTGCCCTAGTTTCTTCTTTGCTTTTCTACTAGTATTATCCTAGCACCAGTACTGTCCTATAGTTAGCCTTCACCATCTCTCACCTAGAATATGCAAAGGTCTCTGCCTATCCTAATCTACCTACTAAGCTGCCTGTGAGTAACGTGTCTCCTGTAGTCCTGCCCCTGCAATGTCCCCCACCCCCACTACTGCATGCGATTCAAGTCTGCACTCTAGTACTCAGGGCCCTCCATGGTTTTATTCCTCTTCACTCCTTTAGAGAACATGTGTTCTGGCTTACACTAGAGTATGGGTGTTCCCAGACCACCTTGAACCTCTGAGCATTCAGGCTCCACTTTGCTACTTGTCAGCTGCATTCTCCTTCAGAGTCTGGCTCAGATGATGTCTCATTCATGGCATCTTCCTCAACCTCCACAACTGTTAATTGCTCCCTTCTTTTTCACACCACATTTCTCTATTTGGCACTCACATCTTTCCAGCTTATATCACAGTCATTTTCCTGATCTTCCCTACCTCATTTCATTATAATTATCTGCTCCAAGTTTACCTTGCTGTCTCCACTATAAGCTTCTTGATGTCAGGGACTCACTGTATGTTAGCTGAGCAAATAAAGGATGAAAGAAGCTCTGTAAAAGTTACTTGCATCTGCAGAGCCTGACAATGAGGAAGATTGTGTCAGCCAGGTCCATCACAGCCAGAGACTTGTCTTGGCCCAGGACAGACACAGTTTTAGCATCCCCTTGGTACTTAATAACCACCATGTGATTGGGTGAGTTTAGGGCCTTGGCTCTGAAATGGGCCTTGCAAATAGACACTCAGAGGTAAGTAAACCTTCATGGAAGACCAAGGTGTTTATATAGGCTGAGTGGAAGAGTGTGGTTTCCCCCTTTGATGCTTTGTTGGGCTACCCAGTTCTTGAGGCTTAGTGTACTTGTGCATTGCTATGTAAGAAATTACACACAAAACATAGTGTCTTAAAACAAGAAATAACTATTATCTCACAGCTTACGTGGCTCAGGAATTCAGACATGGCTTATCTGGATTCTCTTTCAAGGTCTTTCACAAGGCAGTAATCAAGGTGTTAGTTGGGGATGGGGTCTCATCTGAAGGCTCAACTAAGGCAGGATCTACTTCAAAGATCAGTCACATGATTGGCAAGATTTGTTTCCTCTCTGGCTGTGTAAAGGTCTACTTCAGCCTTTGCCATGTATACCTCTCCACAGGGTAACTCACACTATGGCAGCTGGCTTCCCTCAGAGTGAGCAAGAGTGTGCGAGAAGGTGCTCAAGATGGAAGCCACACACTTTTTACAATCTAATTTTGAGAGTGATATCCCACTGATTCTGTGGTATTCCCTTCATTAGAAGCAAGTCCAGCCCATAATCAAATGGAAGGGAACACAGAAGGGCACAAGCACTAGGAAGTGAAGATCACTGGGGCCATCTCTGAGTCTGCCTCTCACACATGGCCATGATGTTCTCCAGTTAGAGCAGGCAAAGGCCTGCAGCTCCTAGAATGGCATGTTAGGGAGTAATAAGGAGGACAGAAGCCTGATAGCAGACAAATAATTTTGAGTTTCTGTCTACATTTTAAAATTGGGGTGCTTTTTTGCCTCTTTCCTTGATGTCAAATTTGCTTTTTTGCTGCTATCAATGTGCTTACCCCAATAAGAATTGTACTCTCCTTTTTTCCTTGTAATTTACTCTTTCAAAAAAAGTGTGAATTTAGCAATCAGTTTTGTTAAAATTATTTATAAACAAGAAATATTAGGTTCTGCACAAGAGCTAGAGGTTAGGGTCTTGTGGTCCCACCATTGTGGTCATTGTTTACTCTTAAGAGGAAATAGACCTTTCAGGTTATTGGTGTGGGGGTGGGGAAGGTGGCTCAGGACTGTTTTCTAGTTGAGCAGAGATCCTCCTGCAACAGTCTCTGCTCCTCCCCTTTAGTGTGCCCACAGCTAAATGTACAGCTCAGTCCACAATGACCTAATGGTTCCTAGAACCTCGTACATCTAATTTTTTTTGCTTCTTTGTTGGACTTTAAGACACTGCCAACCTGGTTGGGAAGTAGCAAGTCTAAATTCCAACAAGCTGGATTGCTCTTTCCTCCCTGACCTTTCACCCTCCCACCCAATTGGTGGTAGTTAAATTTCCTTTGGTTGAGTGGGGAGAACACACACATTGACAAATGAGCAAATGACATTGAGCAAATGGCCCTAATTTGTTTTTCTGTTTCCTGAATGGGACAGTGCATGATGTAAAACTGAACAGTGGCAGAAAATTTGTGACTACAATCTCCTTGCTATTTGTGTAAGATATAATATTGAGAAACCAATCTCTGTCATTTGCAACAGCCCTGTTGTAGCAGAGCAGGAACCCCACTCCTGCTAGCCGAATGCCTGGTCTGTCCTTGCTCCACACCTATTCACACTGCCAGCACTGGCCTCCCCTGACAAGCCCGAAGGATACAGTCTAATAACCCAGCAGTCACCAAACCTACATGGATGCAGAACTGGTTCACAAAGGAGCCAACAACTTGATTTTTTTCTTGGCCAGTAAGGTGGTGCTTTAGCCTAGGCCAAGTGCCTTTTGAAAATCCCAAACCCTCACATGTGTTATTAAATTCCCCTGGGAAGTCTCAGCTTCTGCGTGATTCCAAATAATTCTTGAAAGCTGTGGGAAGTCCCTATTCTCTGGTTTTTGGTGAGGAGGGACCCCAGGACTTTAGACCACACTTGTCTCCTTGGATCCCTTTGACAGCCTAGCTGGCTACCATTTGAATCCCTGTTTTATGTTTGAGGCAACTGATCCTTCAGCAAAGTTGTGTGTCCCAGCATCGGTCACGTAGTTGGGAATTTCAGTGCCCTTCAGTCAATTGGATGTTGTATAGAGTGCAGGCCTGTCCTCATGGAAGGAAATCTGAGCTCATGGCATGTGGATTTTAATCAAACGTCTCTACTGATCTCCTTGCTACATTTTAGAGCACCCAGTGTGAGCTTAAAAGGCAATGAACAGTCTGGGAATGACTGCCCATTGCAGTATCAACAGTTGCTAACACTGTTTCTAGCTGCAGTAATTATCATAGGCAATTCTAATTAAGCTGATTCCTAAACACTGAATTTTTAGTTTCAGCTGAACTAAAAGAGATGTACATGCCAAGCTCCTTTGTCAAACTGGGGAAAAATTGAACTGTTAGTTATCTGTTGATGTGTGATAAACTTACAATTGGTATCTTGTCAAATAGAAATTAAATGTGCATTTGAAACACTTTATAACATAGAGTACAAGCACACCATGGGTGTGGAGGGGAAGGTGTCCCACTGGCTACCAAGCAGTTTACGTGGCCTGGGAATGATGGATGCTCTGCTGGCCAAGTTGGAGCTGCCAGCCACTTGGGACTATAGGTATACTTTGAAGGCCATTCATGAAGGCAGGTATGGTGGGGCATTGTGTGGTCAGAGGCTCCCATATGAGTAGTAGCTAGGCTCTGCCAGCTCTTTTCTGTCTGCTTCTCTGGCCTGCTGCAGGACACATTCTCAGTCTTCCCTTCCCTGGCTGGCTGCCAGCAATTTGGCAGCTGCTTCCACCATCTTTTGTCCTGGGAAGCTAAGGCAGGCAGGAATTTTCTTGATCTCTTCCCTGAGGGCTCTACTAGCTTGCAAGGTTGTAGGTTTCTGGATGGTCGTTATTGCTTGGTGCAGGATAACTCAGGGTAAAGACTAGCCTACGGGTTCTGAAGATTAAATTGGACCTTGGTACCCAAAGAGATTGTTGGTGCAAGTGAAGGCCATCCCAGGATAAGGCCATGGTAATGCTAGACAGCAGAGCCAGCATGCTGCCATTGACTATTTGTGTGACTTTTGGACAGCCCCATTTCTCTTTGAGCCTTAGTTTTCATACCTCTAAAATAAGGGAGGTTGGGCTAACCCTGACAGTTCTGTCTTGGCCTAGTTCTGGTACTTGCTATTCAAGCTGCTTGAAGTTCTATTGCAGTCTAGTCCTCCCCCCCCCTTTTTACCAGTGGTGCAAATTTCTAGCTTCTTCCTATTAAATATCCTTGTTGATGTTTAACAGATAGTTTATGGAATACACAATATTTGGAGACCAAGTAATCATGGGTATATATATGCACATGTACACATACATTAAGAGGTTATGGGCACTTGTTTGAAACGAAAAACAAAACAAAGCCAAAAATGACTCTCCTTGTTTATAAAACATGAAACTAATAGACATTTCTCTTGTGACTAAAAACACTTTATTTTCAATGTAATTCTGCAGAAGGAAGGATTGAAGTTAATTAACATTTGTGTTCCCCAATAAAAGCTGAAAGGGGAAACAACTGTATACAGTCAAAGATGTGTGTGCTTATAGATTTTTTAAATGATTTTGAGCTGTGATGTTTGATTTACTATGGAAATGTGGAGGCTGAGAAGGTGTTGACCCAGCTGGAGTAGCGTGGTAGCCCTACATGGGGGCAATGAAGTGATGAGCCCAGCCCATGGAATTAAGCCACTATTGCTATGTTTCTAGATTAAATGCATCCTCCTAGACTGTTTTCTATTTGAGAATTTACTTTCTTTTGGGAACGCCTGGAGATAGAAAACTCCTACAGCCAAACTCATGCTGTTTTCCTATGTGCAAACCTAAGTAGATTCCAAAGGGTTTTTCTGCTTGATAGGCCCATTACAGAGCCTTTGCCCACTGGTAGAAGGGTCTCAATGCCAGCTCTGGACACAGGGCAGTTTGGGAGGCAGCATTTACAAATTATTTCTAGCCCCCTATTTAACAAAGAGGATGATAAGTAAAGATGCAAGTTTGTTTGCTCATCCCCAAGTGTGTGGTTTTCTATCCTTTCTACCAGGAGTACAACATGGACATCATCTTCTACCAGACCTGGTATGATGAACGCCTCCGTTACAATGATACCTTTGAGACACTTGTTCTGAATGGCAATGTGGTGAGCCAGTTGTGGATCCCAGATACCTTTTTTAAGAATTCTAAGAGGACCCAAGAGCATGCGATCACCATGTCCAACCAGATGGTCCGCGTCCACAAGGATGGCAAGGTGTTGTGTACGATTAGGTATGTCAAGCCTCTAATATCTCACCTCCTGGGACTCTCCCTCCCCCCTCCCCTTCTGGGAATTTTAGCCAAAGATTCATGGGCAGAGATATCATCCTGAATGATACTTCTAAGGGCCTGTCCAGTTTTCCTAGACCACAAGCCCAAGCCCCTCCTGTGCAGATACAGACACCGAGGCTTCAAAATTAAATATATATATATATATATATATATATATATATATATATATATATTGCTTAAAGCTACATACCAAGTTTGTGGCAGAGCTGCGACTGGTACCCAGTGTTACTTGGCTCCAAGTCAAGAGCTCCCCCAACTAGGATGTACCAGTATGACTGCACTGCCTGGACGGTTCCATCCCAAGTGGGCACTGGATGTAAAGACACGTCCATGGTGGTTGAATTGTCCAGGTGGGGTGGCAACACAGCAGTTGCAAAGGTACCTAAAACCAGGCTGGATACTTGAATGCCTGGCAGGGGAAGGTCGTGTGTTAGTGGTGGTGTGGGGACAGGCAGGTGGCGGAGAGTGGGAAAGTACTGGCAGGTCCTGGAAGCTGGGCTGGGCAGGAAACAAAAGCCAGTGTTAAGTTGGTCCGTGCACTTCTCTGATGATAGAGCCTAGATTAGCCAGATGCTTCCAAGCTGTTTTTCCTCTTTTTTTTTGTCTCTCCTTTGAGCTTTTTGTCTTAAATTCTATTGTTGCCACTCATTGGTGATGGTCCCTAGATCAAAGTTGGTGGATGTGTAAGTGCTTGGGGCCAGCCTAAATGAGGCTCCTTTCTCCCTTCCAGGATGACCATTGATGCTGGATGCTCACTCCACATGGTCATATTTCCAATGGACTCTCACTCTTGGCCTCTGTCTTTCTCTAGCTGTGAGTACCTTAAGTTTCTGGGGCCCCAGACATGCTGGGCCCCTTCTTTTTCTCATCCTTGCCCTTTACATTTTTCTGCCTCTGCTTTTCTCCTAAGATGCTGCCAAGATTGTGCAGGGCTTCCATCCTCCATCCTCATCTCCTTTCTTGCTGACAATACTGTGTTGCTCAACCCTGGCCTCATGTTGGGTTCATGCCTTTCCCTTCCACCACCTCAAGTCAGTTACTTGCCTCTTAAGTGTATCTCAAGTCTGCCTTCCCCTTTCCATCTCCACTGGCATTACCTTGCTTTAGGTCTTTGTCATCTTCCATTTGGACTTTTGCAACATCTTCACTTTGAAACTGAACATGTCTCCTCTAAAACGTCTACCCCCCAAACAAATGTGTTGCTTCTGTGTTCTTGTGTGTCTCATTGAAGAGCACCATCACCCGCCCAGTTGTCCAAGCCAAGAACTTTGATGCTTCCCTCTCCCTCACCTCCTACATCTAATCAGTCAACACATCCTGTTGGTGTTTCCTCGCAAATCTCTATCGATTTTGTCTGTTTCTCTGAATTCTGTCACAGCTTTGCCTCTTACCTTCATTTTGTTATGCATGGATTATTGCACTGGCCTCCTTCCCAACATGCTGTCATCACAGAAGGACCAAAGTGACCTAGCTAAAGCATCATCTAGACCAGGTCACTTCTTAATTTCAGATCCTTCCTTAATGCTCTTGGATTTATTCCAGATTCCTTAGACTGACCCTGAAGGCCATTCATGAACTGATCCCTGCTCCCTGCTTCTGCTTTTCTGAACTTTTGGCATTTCATCTTTCACCTTTCACCTTTCTGTGCTGCCTCTACTCCCAATTCAGCCTCATCCATATGGAGAGTATTTACTTGACTTTCAAGACTTAATGGGAACATCACCTGATTAATGAAATCTTTTCTGAGTGTGTCCCCACATGATCTTTCCCTACTTTGTTTCTCCACTGTTCAATGAGCAGAGGTTTTTCAGAGCAACTCCCCAAATCACAGTTGTGTACTCACTGTTGTACTCAATAAAATGTGAATACTTGAGGGCGGGATTCATGCCATGCCCACCTCTGTATTTCCAACCCAGGGCCTGCTCAGTAAATGCACTTATTGAATGGACTTCAACAATGAGGTAAGAGAAGCAAGGTTCTAGAGCTTGTGCGGCTGAAGTCAGGACCCCAAGGCATTGCTCAGGCTGACTTCATGCTGGTGGAGACCTCAGGTGGGCTTCCCAGTCTCATGTAAACCTCCTCCCTACATTGCTTTCCAGTTTCTTATCATGAGAGTGAGTTGCTCTACAAGTGGGAAGATTTCCAGCTTGAAATCAATGAGAAGAACTCCTGGAAGCTCTTCCAATTTGATTTTACAGGAGTGAGCAACAGAACTGAGATTATCTCAACCCCAGCTGGTAAGTGTGCCATAGGAGCCAGGGTTAGGCAGAATCCCAGGAGGGTGGTAGGGATGACTGGAGGTGGCCATCCATACAAATGCTATGTAGTCATCCCATGGAAGTATTGTAGAACATAGTTCCTGTCTTATAAATGCTAAGCACATACAACTGTTTGCAGAGGAAACTGAGACTTTGTAACTATGTCTCAGTCTCATCTGCAAAGAAGTAAGTGCTTTGCCAAGTCCCCTGAGAGGTTAGGTAAGTAGATAAAGTTTTGTTGCTATCAGAATGTGCAGCTAGCTTTGTCATGTAGACCCTTCAGTTTCCAGGTCTTTGTTACAACACTGAACTACTTGGATGGCTTTGGGGAATGGAGCTTATGTGAATTCTCCATACCCAGAACAGTCCAAGCTAGTTGAATAGGAGGCAAGGTCCATCCTAATGGGAGGTGGAGGCTATAGTTCTATTGTCAGCTAGGTAAAAGCTGGTATAGTCTAAAGGAAGTTATAGCAGCTACAATGGTCACTGGCTGCATCAACATTTATCTTAAAGGGACAGCTCTAAAAAGCACAGATTCATGTCAAAGGCTTCATGATGGATTCAACATAGCTTTGATGACCATTGGTTCTCTGACACTGTCTCTAATAGGAATGAAAAGGGAGGGTCCTGGGTCTCTTAAACTTTAGCTCCCAATAAGATGTGAGCATCTTTGCTTGTGTTCCTAGGTGATTTGAATGAGGAGCCAAGGGACCTCCCTGGGGTAGCTCTCAGAGCAGCCCTGGAAACTCTTCACACGTACTGACCAAGTTCAGGGCAGTGGAACCACTGCCCTCATCGTTTCCAGATTATGGATGGAGCCAGTCATCCAACCAGCTATTTGTCATGGGAGGCATCTTGCTTTGCTTCCATGTGGCTAGGCAGAAAATCTGCTTTTTTTTACTTGTTGAATTGATCACTGGCCAAGGGGACAGCTCATGATTCTCTGGCTATAGCTTTGCTTGCATAATACTAGGCAGGGGGAGAGGGCTGGGCTGCTTTACAAATGCTTTCCTTTTTCTTGGGAACTCTGGGGAAGCAATCTTACAACCTTTGACTTGGATACTTGCTCTTCTGCCAGCTAACCATGGGCCTGCCTCTTGGCTTTCTGCACTGCAGTTTCCCCCAGATAGGTTGGGACCCATCATCAAAAGTGACAGAAAAGACAAACGCCTAGGGGCTTTCAAGTCACTAGTGGTTCCGTTTAGTAGATGGTTGTTCATTGTTTCAAAATGGTGCCCTAGTGACTACAAAGCCCCAGAGCCAGCATCATCACCAAAGCAATGACGATAGGTAAGCACCAGACCTTCTTGGGAGAGAGGAGAGTTCTTGGGGAGAAAGAAAGAGGTCTTCTTTGTCTTTGACCAAAGACTAGTTGATCTTGAGTTATGGTTTCTCCAATGGCAGAATTATCTTTGGGACTGGTCTTAAACTCTTCCAGTTGGCTCGTGGGGCAGTTCTCTCCATCGGGAGCAGACTTATATGCTTAGCTCCTGAGGGTTCAGGATGCAGTGGTAGCCTGCTACTATGACCATCTTGGGCCTTAAACCACAGAATGACTGCTTCAGGAGGTTCTAAGAATCCAGTCTTGGCCCCAGAAAGGGAATCATCCTTTACTGATGGCTACTGGACCTCTCATCAGTGGCCTCTTAGTGGTGTTCAGGAGTTCACTGTTTTGCAAGGGGGTTTCTTCTATAGACAGCTTTATCCATCAGAAAACTCTCCCTATTCATCTAAAATTGGAGTCTCTGGAAGTTCTACCCATTGGACTTATTTTTTTTTTCCTTAGACTATCCAGCTTACATTAGGTCCAGTCACTCTTCTATGAGGCCAAGATTAAAGGACTGATATGATCATTGCAGCCCTGAATCATATTCTGTCATAGTCTGCAGGGCCTTGGCCCTGGTTCCTTTTCCTCCTTGTTCTTCAAAGTTTTGGGTCCACACATCCTCTAACCCCATTCCTCTGGACATAGTCTTTTCAATTGTGTCCCTCTGACTGTGCAACAACTGACCATGGTCTGACAAAATATGATAAGAGTAAGGGCAGAAAGTATCTGAACCATTTTTTTTCTTTTTTGGGTTTGGCTTCTCAGCCCTAGATATCTTTCTTTCCTTATACATGCTTTTTCACTCAGGAAGAAGAAAGTGTGTGCTAGCATCTTTCTCTTGGCCTTCAAGACAAATTTCCATCCCTTGACAGCAGAGAAGGTTCTTCTTTGGCCAGAACAAATAAAATTAATAGAAAATGCAATAGAATAATAAATATTCTAGTAACAACTGTGTATAATAAACTCAGCAGTTTTGTGTGTGGGGGTGTGTATAGCTAATCAGAAGTGTCTTAAATTATGGTCAAGACACCAGGGCAAGAGAACTTTTGATAAATACATTCTGGCCAGTAGGCAAGTGTGAGACTGGTCCCTGCAGCAGCTCTCTCTCAAAGCTACTACTCTGGACACAGGTTTTCCACTGATCCCAGGCTACTTCCTTTCCTTTTTCCAGAAGAATCTAAGAAGTCTTGCTCCTTGAGTATCAGTGCTGCCAAGGTGAGTAGGAAAGGTTTCTCTTCTCATTCAGCTCCAGCCTACCCAGACCTGCTGGGCAGGTGATCTACTTTCTAAAATAGGAGGACACACGGACAGGTCAGTGATCTGGTCTGCTTTACAAAGCTGTTGCCCAACAGCAGCAAGAACCCTGCTGGGTTCCAGGCTATGCTGGGTTTATATGGGCAGGGGCTAAGCCACAGGGTCCATATGAGCCCTGCCTTGAAGAGATTTAAAAGCCTATCCAATTCAAGGCGAAGGAATTCTACAGCATCACTAAAGTGGGAATGTGGAGCTTAGCCTCATTGAGGAGCCAGGATTGGAGCAATTACAAATCCAATGTGATGCTGAGAGTGACCAGTGATGTTCTGGGCCCAGAGAAAAGCCTAAACAAGCCATGGAGTCGTGATAACATGCAGAGTGTTTGGGATGGGTGTGTCAGAGCATAAGGCAGCATGAAGGTTACAAAAGAAGATGCCAACTGGATATGTAGGTTATTTTCAGGTCCTGTAGGATCCATTGATGTCTAGCAAGAGCCAAGACCAGGGTCACAATGCCCAAGTGAACGTGAAGACCTCAGTCTACCTTGTGGATGTATATTGTGTGGATACGACATCTAGAGGGCTGACTGAAATTTTCACTTTCAACTAATTCTTCTCTTTTCCTGAAACACTCAGTTTGGATTAAGTGCCATAGACTAAGAACAGGGAGTCCAGAGTTATCTCAGGGAATCTGAGAGCGAATGGGATTAGCATAGGTTGTGTTTGTATATAAGATGTTAGTTGGAGCCAGGTCATGGTGGGCTTTTAGCATCAGTTTACAGGGTACAGACTTGATTCTATATCTCACATGGAGCATGGATCCATCAGAAGTTTGGGGGGAAGATGAATGCAGTGGAGCAGTGCTAAACAAGGCATTTTTCCATCATATGCATGTTTAGAAAGGAGGCCGAAGACATCCTATGATTCCCATCACAGCACAGCCCTCCTTGGGCTCATTTCCTGAGTGTGCACCTTGTGAGGACCAGCTAGCAGTGCAGGTATAGGGCATCTCAATGGGTGTGAAGGCCTCAGACAGCCATGTGGATATCAGTTGTGTGGGCCGGATATTTAGAGGGTTAACTAAATCTTTCACTTTCACCTGACTCTCCTGCCAACCTGGAAAGACAGACGTTGGGCATGGGACAGAGAAAGAGGCTATTAAGATTCTGGCCTCGGCTTAGCTCTCAGCTGCCCATGGGTCTCCGTGATTGTCCTTTCTGGGCTTCTTCTGGTCCTGTGCATATCACATCAGAACAATGTGCCTCTGTCCTGGCACTGTGGTAGGGAATCCCATGAGCTGAACAATGGGACCCTTAGTATGTATGTCCTGCTTGGGGGAAACCATCACATCAGTGCTGTGAAGAGTGATGTTCTTTATGTCTTCCAGGTGACTTCATGGTCATGACGTTTTTCTTCAACGTGAGCAGACGGTTTGGCTTTGTTGCTGTTCAAAACTACGTTCCTTCTTCTGTAACCACGATGCTCTCCTGGGTTTCCTTTTGGATCAAGAAGGAGTCTGCTCCAGCCAGGACTTCTTTAGGTAAGTGGATCAGTGGCATAAGCACAATCACATGGCTGTGAGTTTGCTGAATGAGGGCAAAGAGTTGCTTTCTCATAGAGTCTTTTGAGCAGTGTAATGTACAGGTCAGGAGCTGAGCCCGCCTCCACTCCTGTGCTCTTGCAGGGATCACCTCCGTACTCATCATGACCACACTAGGTACCTTTTCTCGAAAGAATTTCCCACGTGTCTCCTATGGCACAGTCTTGGATTTCTACATCGCCATCTGCTTTGTCTTCTGTTTCTGTGCTCTGATGGAATTTGCTGTGCTCAACTTCCTGACCTACAGCCAGATGAAAGCCCATGCTTCTCTGAAACTACACCATGTATGATCTGAGTGTGGGAGTGGTGGCGAGGCTTCGGAGTGTGAAGGCATGCCAGTGAGGGCACTAGGGTTTTGGCACATAGGTGGTCAGCTAGCTGAGTGATGGGGGGTTACCCAGGGTTGTGGGAGGAGTTGAAATCAACTTCCTGATGTGTTGGTAGGAGTTCTGGGGGGCCAATAAATGATGTGCCAAGGACAGAGTTTCCAGAAAATCCTGAGGCTACACTTAGCTTGACTCATCTTCCCTTGACTTTTCCACACTTCTTCCCTTGTCCGTTTCAGCCTTGTATTGATAGCCGTGCCTATGCTCGTACTTGTGCACGTGCCCGTGCTTGTGCTCGTGCCCACACCCTCCAGGAAGTTTTTGTGTGCGAGATTGTCACCTCTGATGGAAGTGATGGGGAGGAGCACCCGTCTTGCTCAGCCCAGCGGTCCCCTAGCCCTGGTAGCCCCGAAGGCCCCCCCAGCTTGTACTCCAGGCTATCCTGCTGTGCATGGTGCAAGGGTCTTAAGAAGTATTTCTGCATGGTCCCCGATTGTGAGGGCAGCACCTGGCAGAATGGCTGCCTCTGCATCCACATCTACCCCCTGGATAACTACTCTCAAATTCTTTTCCCAGTGACTTTCCTCATCTTCAATGTGCTCTACTGGCTTGTTTGCCTTAACCTGTAGTTGCCAGCTGGCACCCTGTGGGGCAGCCTCCCCAGTTCCTCAGGAGGTCCCAAGCCCCTTGCTAAGGGAGTTGGGGGAAAGCAGCAGCAGCAGGAGCAGCTAGACAGTCTTTCCTTCCACACTCCCTAAATAGGAGCCTGCAGAGGTTTTGTCTTTGCTGGCCCTCTCCTTCACCTGGCCCATTAACTGAATTGCCTTGGCAGCCCATTTCAAGTAAAATGGCCCACCTCTCTATTCTTCAAGGGGCATCCAGGATACTCAGTGTTAAAAATCATACACTCTCAGTGATTGGCTCACTAAAACTGTGCCCATGCATGAGTAGGTTTGCTATCTCCCAAAAGTGCTGACAGCCACTGGCTTTTACTAGAAACCCATTATTGCCCTTTGTTATGCTACGGGCCCAACTCTGACCTCGGCCTCAAAGTGCACAGATCAACTGCTTGCCTGTTCCTGACACCTCCCTAAGGTGCTGAGCAATAGTGTAACGGGGGGGGACCCCCATCCTTGAGTCAGATTATTATATTCTTAGTTTTCTTTCCCTGCTCCCCCCCCCACTTCCTCTGCAGATAGACAGACACTGGCATTATCCCTTCAGGAGGTAAGGGGGTTAGCAAGTGAGCCTATTGGGACAGTATCTCTCCCTTTGCTGCTGTGACACCTCTCACTTCCCCTCTGTCTCTATCTTTCATCCACACTGCCAACTCAATGTCATGCATCCAATGGGTATCTATTTTTGTGTGTGATTATAGTGATTACCTCTTGCTTTATATGCTACCTTCTTCCTCCTCCTTGACCCCTGTGACTTTTTCTGTAACTTCCCCAGTGACTTTCTCAGCCCTAAACCATGTGCTAGGCCTTGGTGACTTCCTGGGGCCAAGAAACTGAGGAAACTGTGCTTTGCAGTGGGCATTACCCACTTTTGATGGGTGCCTATCTAAGGCACAGCATAGGAGCTCTACCACTTCCTTGGCCCCTGGACCCATGAGCCAGTCCACTCTTATCTCCTGGGCACTTTGACATTCACAATCAATCAATTGAATTCCCTTAAATTTATATGGCACTTTACCTTTGGCAAAGCACTTTTGACAGATTATTTCTATCTGGAGCCTCATTATAGCCCTGTGACATGTTTAGGGCAGTATTCTTATCCCCTTTGTGCAGATGGGATCCCTGAGGCACAGATTTCTATGGTACTGTGGATCTCATTGGAAGCCACCCAGGAGCGCACTGTCATCTTCTAGACCACATGACAGGGCTAGGCAGATCAGTTCACCAAGATTCAATTCTATTGCCTGTGCTGACACCTCAGTGGCGGAGCCCAGACTGGCAGCCTCTCTTCAGCATTGGCTTACTCAATTCCTAGGCCTGAGATACTCAGACTGCCCCTAAAATCAAACCTCTTCTGGCTCTGGTAACCCAGTGAGATGAATTTTTAGACATGCCCCAATGCTTGCTTGTATATGCTGAATGAAATCTGTGTCTATTTTATTGAGGGGTGGGGAAGGTGGGGGATCCGCCTGCTTTTTGTCACCATCATCTGAAAGGGGGAAATATGTGAATAAATATATCAACAAAGCATTCAAAGTGTGGCTGGTTTCTCTGGTATTCAGGTTTGTTCTCAGTTCAAGATTTAAATCTCAAATCTACGATTCAGGCCTTTGTCTGTTCCCCCTCCCGTCTGTGACCTCTAGGCCTACCAGGCATGGACCATGTACCTTTCTATCATTAGCAGGGAACAAAAGGAGGAGACTGGCTCCCTTTATAGATTTCCTGACTTGCTCTTAGGCCTCTGCTCCCTTGATGTTCCTTTTCTTTGCCCACCATTCCAGCCTCTACCTTGTCATAGCTAGAAGGTTTCAGGGAACTACTGGACTCAGAACACTCCCCCCTCCATCATGTGAAGATGGAGATGCTGAGGCACAGAAAAAAGGAGAGATTTGTCTCATCACACAAGGAGTCAATCGTGGAGTAGGACTATTCCCCCAAAATCCTAATGTTCTGGCTTGGCATGAAAAAAGCCTGGAAACCTTGGTTGATTCACTTTTCAAAAGAAGAGTCTCTAAAGGTGTATTGAGAAGTGTTGGCCCTGGCATCTTATGACACTTCCAACTCTAAAGAAACTCAGAAATAATAACAAGAACCAAGGAGGAGACAAAAATGGCATCCGAACAGCCAAGATTTTTGCCATTATGTCCTTAGAATGATGTTCACTTTCATATAAGGAACCTACAGCAAAATACAAATAACAATTCTAGAACAAGGAACTTAGTTCCTCACTTTTACTGACATTAGGAAGATGCAGGGGGGAACAAGGACAGTCTGGTTCCTGGGGTAAGTAGAAACGCAAATTTGTGAGCACACACATTTAAATGGATTTTGAAACAGAAATAGTGCAAAACAGATCCCTTAAACTATACTAAAGCTACAAATACATAAAATTCCTGCCATTTGTAAATTTTAAAAAGCTTACATAAATAATTCTTTAAAAATGAAGAAATTGAAACCATAATTGGGTACATAATATCTAAAAAATAAAATTTATGAAGAAAACACTACATATTAAAACCTGTGGGATGCAGCCTACATTGCACTTAGAGAAAAGTTCATAAGTTAAGCATTATGATTACTAAGCACAATGGAAGAAAAATTAGAAATTAAGAAAAAGGAGAAAATCACATTACACCTTAGAAAAGTTTTGGGGAAAGAGGGATTTTTAAAATAAACAGTATAGAGAGAACTAGTTAAGCATTTGAAAAACAATACATGAAGCTGAGTTCCTAACTCTCTTCACATCCAAAATACAGATGAATCAAAAATTTAAGAACTTTTTTTTTTATTTCGGCATATTATGGGGGTACAGATTTTAAGGTTTCAATAAATGCCCATTTCCCCCCCTCCCCCCACAAGTCTGATTCTCCATCATGACCATCCCCCAGATGGTGCACATCTCACTCATTATGTATGTATATACCCGCCCCTCTCCCCCCTCCCACCTGCCAAATACCCTATTACTGTAGTACCTATGTGTCCACTTAGGTGCTACTCAGTTAATACCAGTTTGCTGGAGAATATATCTGGTGCTTGTTTTTCCATTCTTGGGATACTTCACTTAGTAGTATGGGTTCCAGCTCTAACCAGGAAAATATGAGATGTGCTATATCACCGTTTTCTTAGAGCTGAATAGTACTCCATGGTATACATATACCACATTTTATTAATCCATTCTTGGATTGATGGGCACTTGGGCTGTTTCCACAGCCTTGCAATTATGAATTGTGCTGCTATAAGTATTCAAGTGCAGGTGTCTTTTTTGTAGAGTGTCATTGGATCATTTGGGTAAATGCCCAGCAATGGGATTGCTGGATCAAATTGTAGATTCACTTGTATGCTTTAAGGTATCTCCATATTGCTTTCCACAGAGGTTGAACTAGTTTGCAGTCCCACCAGCAATGTAGGAGTGTTCCTCTCTCTCCGCAACCACGCCAGCATTTATTGTTTGGAGAAAAAATTTAAGAACTTTTTAAAAGAAAACCATAAAAGTACTATAAGACAATATGGGTGAATAGGTTTATATTCCTGGGATGGGAAAGGCCTTTCAAAGTGTGACATAAAACACCAGAAACTATAAAGGAAAAGATTGAAAAATGCCTCCAAACTAAAACAATAACAAAAATAAAAGCAAAAATATACTGTCACAGGTCAGTTTTTCTGGGAAGCAGTCTGAGACCAAGATTAGAGTGCAAGAAGTAGGTTGGGGAGTGCTCTTAAGACCTGCGCCTTTGGGAGGAGTTCAGAGAGCAAGGTCAGTTCAGAGAGCAAGGTTGGGTGGAGGAGAAACTGGGCTGCCAAGCACTCACAGAAAGGACTGCAGATGAATGCATGGGAATTTTGAAGTCAGGATGCTCCGGAATCTCACAAAGCAGGGCAAGGGGGCTGGACCCTTAGGCCCCATCACTGGATGTGAGCATAAACTTGGATATATCTGAGAGGGACTCACTTGAGGGCTGTCAGTGTCCAACAATCTTAGCAGCTGGAGAAACAAGAGCTGTGCCCTAGGGGCAGTGTTGCAGTGAGGTTTTGGCAGGGTGGGACACCACATCATCTACTGTAGTTCAGCTCTCACCTTGCTTAGGCTCATTTGCTTCATACAAATAAATTCTAGGGTAATTCTTCTATGGTTATGTTGAGCTGCTTTTCCTGAGGAAGATTTACAAGATTAGAGAAACACTATGCCCCTGCCACTGGAGCTGGCCTTGGGGCCTTAATTGATACTCACCATCTTCATCCTGTACTACTCATCTTAGATTTTCTTTCATCCTCAGTTATATCTTTGCTGATCTAGGTAGCTCACCTGCTGAACTGACTGAAACCTTCATCCTTGAAGGGTCTGAGTTTCTGGACACCAAGCCCTTCTTAGGCCATGGCTGGTGGACTTGTCTGTCATTTCCAAGGGTTACCTAAGTGGGTCACCTGGACGCCAAAGATATTCTTGCCTGCCCCAATTGTATAGTAGTGGCTTGATCTCCTCCTGATGATTAGGGTGAATTACCTCTGTCAGGATGGTGACTTGTTTTCTATTGGCTAGTGTGTAGCAGCCATGGATAAAATTTCATGGGACTCTTGTTTTCCCCTGGTGAAAGCACTTACAATCTGGGAGCCAAGAGCTCTAAACCTGCAGGACCCAGAATTATGAGAATGGGAAGCACAAATTTCCCAAGTGAGTTACCAGGATGATAAAACAACTTCTACTTCTTAGTTCCCAAACCTGTATATTCTATTGCTTATGGTCATTGATTTAGGATGCAAAATGCTCCCAGGTGAGTGGCACCCCATCCTCTCAGAATATCATCTCTAAGCTGACACTTCAGCTATGTCTTCAACACATCATTTCATCACTCTATCTGGCCAGCAATTTCTGAGTGGTGCAGTATGTGATAGAATCCTAGGTCATGAGCCAAATGTTGCACTCCTTTAGTGGAAAGTTGATCTTTGGGTACAAT